AGCCTGATATCAACCGTTCTACTTTTCAGGAGATGCCGTTTCATACACATACAGTAGAATGCTTGCTGTGTTCCAGGGGTTATGCAAGGGATATGAGATGAATATAAAATCTCTATCCTTAAAGAACTCTGAGCCAGGAGGAGGGGACAGAAAAGCAATAGTTAGAATAACCTGTAAGGAATTTTGAGTTGGAAGTAAGGAAAAGGTGCTATGGGAGTACAAAGGAAAGAATGCATAGAAGTCATAGGTAGAGGAAGGGAACCTTGGGAGCTAGGGAAGGAGTGAGTGCCACCTCATTAAGAGAGATGAGCTGTATAGTACGACTGGCCTAGTGTGCATTTGAAGAATAATAGGATGAGATTAGAAACATAGGCAGAGGTCCAATTGTTAAGGAGTTGGGTCTTTACCTGGTTAGCAGTTGGGAATCTTTATAAAATTTTAAGTAGGGTAGCAACATGATGAAAAATAAATTACAGAAAGAACCCTATAGGTGGTTGAGATTAGAGATGAAATATCAGTTAGGTGGTTATTGCAGTAGTTCAGGGGAGAAATATTGAGGGGCTGAACAGAGGCAGTAGCTATAGGTATAGAGAGGAGAGACCAGTTTGAGAAATATTTAGTAATAGGATAGATGGGACTGGGTGGCAGGGTGTAGAGAGAGAGAAGAATTTCTAGGATGGCTTCAAGGTTTCTAATTTTGCCTTGTGAGACTGCATGAGCATGGCCTTTGGCGTCAAACATGCTAAGGTATGCAAGTGTGCATCTGTTACTTACCAGTTTTGTAATCTTGATCAAGTAGCAAGCTTTTAAATCTCATTTGTGATAGAGGAGTGGTAGTATACATAGGATTGTTGTGAGGATTAAATGGGGTAATATATATAAAGTTGCTTATGTTAGCTATCATTTTTATTATAAAACAATAAGTATAGGAATAAAGTTAGAGAAAGATTCTGAGATCGATTTGGGACATGTTAAGTTTAGGGTGCCTCCAAGCCATCTAAATGATTTTATATAGAAGGTAGTTGGAAGTAAGGCCCTGGAGTTCAGAAAAATGTCTGGTTAAGAGATACAGATGAGGTAGTGGATGATAGAGAAGTTAGTTAAAATAGAGTATATAAAGGGAAGGAGTTAAGGCAATGGTGACTTGCTGGGAAGGAGGATGCTCTTGCTAATGTTTACATTGCCATGAGGAAGGTGCTGATAAAATTGTTTTTTGTGGCCTTTCATTAATACTCATGAAGTGCTTGCCATGAGTGAAGTACTCTGATTATTCTGTGTTGCATCCAGAAATATATAGCACATGATTCCCTGGATTCAAAAGTTGTATAGGTCAGGACAGGGCGGGATAAGTGTCCCGTGAGGGATGTAAGCCAAGTTGTTTAGGAATGTAGGGGGAGGGAAGAATCATTCCTGGTTGGGTGATCAGAAGGGACATGTTAGAAATGTTATTGGAACTGGGTCTGGAATGATAATAGGATTGCATTGGGGGAAGGTGGAGGTGCAAATAGGGTGGGATTGCTGGCAAAGGAGTATTGAAGTTTTTGACCTTGGTCACAAAAGACAGTGTTATTAAGAGAAACAGCAAAAATTAGGTGGATGGCATGAGGAGGGGAGCAGGAAGATAAATTCTGTTTTACAAATATTTATTTTGAGGTAACTGATATTAATGATTAGAAATGCTTGTCTTAACTTGGGGAGAGAGAGATCATTGTTGAGGATGTAGATTTAGATATTATTGTGTAACTAAAGCTTTGGGTTTTAAGATATCTGAGAAGAGGAGAGAGGAATTGGGAATGCCCACATTTCTGGGAAGAGAGTGAAGAAAACACGAAGAGATCAAAGAGGTATAGATGGAAAGATTCTTGAGAATTAGGGGGTATCATCAATGTTATGTGCTTCAGGTATGTCCGGGAACATGAGTCCTGAGAAAAGAATTTGATGATGTAAGAGATCATTGGTGAACCTGAGGAGAACAGAATCCTGACGGTGGTTTTGGTATAAGCCATTTTGCAAGGGTTTTAAAAATAAGTTGGTGATAGAGAATTGGTGACAGTGAATATAGGTTATTTATTCAAGTTTGGCTATGTAAAAAAAGAAGATAATCATTGGGGTAATGGGGTTGAGGGAAGAATTTTTTGTTTGTTTTTGCTTCAGGCCAAGATGCCTGTGGGAGGACTGGATAAAGAAACTAGATGTAAGTGTGCTATAGCGTAGGAGGAAGAGACGTTGACCTGAGACTGAGGGAAGAAGAACATGGGTAGAAGTGCAGACATTTTAAGAAACCAGAAGACACGATGGGGTGGAGGAGCTAAGGTGTGTGTGAAGATAGAGTTCGTGCTGTAGACTTGATCTCGGTTAACTAGAAGAATGAGAAAGATTGGGATGAAATTAGGGACTTGAGGGGAAAAAAAATAGACGACTTTAGAAGAGGGATTGTAGAGGAAGAAACAAAGATGATGACATTAATAAGGAGATTGCCCAGAAAGAATGAAGGTTAAGGTGAGGCTAGGTTTATACCCCAAGGCTTCATTGATCAGTATTTTTCTCAGATCCTTGGGATTCTCAAACAAAGGTAGAAAATTTCTTGAATGCAAGCCTAACCTCATGCCAGGCCATGGGTTAGTCCCTTTGGGGACAGGGGTTAGAAGTGGTGGGGAGTTTATTCATTTGGGAGTTTGGAGGAACTCAATTAAGTCCAAGTATCCTAGGATCTTTTAGCATATGTGTGCCAAACATTGTAATCAATTATATACATTATCTTTACTTCTCAGCACAACCATATGTTATTATTATTATCCCCATTTTGTAGATTAGATGATTGAGTTTTAGAGTGTAATTTTAATTTCCCCAGCATTATATAGCTTTAGTGTAAAGGCTAGGATAGAACCAAAAGCAGTGTGATTTCAGAGCCTGCTTTTTTAACTACTACTTTATCCAGTGCTGTCCTATGGAACAATGTAAGCCACATATATGATTTTAAATTTTCTAATAGTTACATTAAAAAGAGCAAAACAATAAAGTGAGATTAAGTTTAATAATATATTTTATGTAAACCAGTATATCCAGAATATCATTTTATCCTGTAATCAATGTAAAAAAAAATAAGATTTTGTATATTTTTATGCTGAGTTTGAAGTCCAGAGTATATTAGCACATCTCAATTTGGAGTAGCCACGTTTCAAGTGCTCAATAGCCATGTGTGACTAGTGGCTACCATACTGGACAATGCAGCTCTACAGCCTTACCCTTGAGGCCAGTCTGAAGCTTGGGGAGAGTACAGAGGGTGCCTTTTGTTTATGACAGCACTAGTTTGTGTGAATGTTACGACAGTGGAGCAGCCTGACTGTCTACTATTTTCCTGACTTATTGGGAAGAGCCTCCCAGCCCTTGAGAGCCACAAAAACTCTTGAGAAGTAGTTGTTCACAGTTACTCTCCTTAAAACTAGGTACCCCAAAACTAAATCAAATATATAGATTAATTAGAAAGTAATTGTTAGAATTAAAAAAGAATTCCCTACATTTCTTTACATAGTCATCTCTCATCATCATAATGTACATTTTATATGGCCTTATCATTTACACAACATTTTACATGTGCTTTCTTTCTTGATCCTCACAACAGACCAGTGAGGCGTTATCTCCATTTATCCAGGTGATGAATTGATTACAGAGTGATTTAAGTGATTTGCTTCAGTTTACATGTAATAAAGATGAACCCCAAAACCTGTTCTTTAGACTCCAAATCTGGTATGTTTTTCCACTGTGCTAATCAGCTTTGCCTTGTACAAAGCAAAATATAGTTATATTTATGAATTGTGAACAGTTAACACCACTCAGAACTCACTATATTTACCTCTTCCCAGAAATGCATCCCTTAAAATCCTGTGTGATTGTCACAGTGGCTATACTCCATTTCTTGCTCAGTTACTGACTCTTACTTTAAGTGACTCTGATTGTCTTATATCTTATGTTGCCTGAGAAAGAATCTTAAATGGACACCTTTTTGGTTGGTTTGTTTGCTTGTTTTTGGCATTGCTGTTTTGTTTGACCCTAGATTCCATAGGATCAAATCATCTTGTGAGCATGTAACTAGTCATGGTAAATTAAGGAAGTATCTAGGGTCTCCCCCCCCGCCTTTATTTGTCAAAGGAAATCTTGACTCTATAGGGGAATTACATGTTGTCAAGCTAGCGTTTTTTTCTTTTCCTGAAATCAGACATTAAGGCAGATGCAAACCCCACTCCCTGCATATTTTACATGAGAGATTTCCATATAAGATTTTTTGTTTCTTTGTTTGAAATAGTTTCAAACAAAGGGTTTCATGGCTAAAACAATCACTGGCAGAGAGATTTTAGACATACAGGTTGGATCGGCATGTAAAGGACCTTGAATACTATCACAGAGATTTGAGCTTTATTTTATTTAGGCTTTAGGGAACCACATGATTAGAATAATGTTTTAGATAGACTAGTGTAGAGGATAGTTATCTGATCTATCTGGGATCTGGCTAGTTCAGATTAATAGTAATTCTAGGTTCTACATATCCTAACTCCAAAAGGGCTAGATAATTGAAAAAGACATTGTAACTCATCAGAACGTGTGGATGACTAATAATGTTTAAGTGAGACTGCCGTTAAGGCACATAACTGACTGACGTCCACATCCCAAGGTGACAGCACCACTTGGTCATTCCTAGCCAAGCAGAGCATATATTACACTTATTATAGCACAGTAGTGCTTATTCTTCAGTTATTACCATAGTGTGATTTACCAACTAACTTCTCTGTGCCTTAGTCTTATAATAAGGAGATGATAATGGCATCTATTTCAAAGAGTATTTGTAAGAAATAAGTGATTTAATATTGTGCGTGCTTACAGTAGACCTGCTCAATACACTGAGGCTCAGTAAATGTGAGCTGCTCTTATTATTGTTGTTGCTGTCAGTTCTGTTAGGAATGTTTAACGATTTTTATTTTTACAACTCTATTTTTATCTTCTAGCTACTGCGTGGTAAAAGCTAGAATGAAACAGTTGCCTGCAGCAACAGTTCGCCTCCTTTCAAGTTCTCAGATAATCACTTCAGTGGTCAGTGTTGTAAAAGAGCTCATTGAAAACTCCTTGGATGCTGGTGCCACAAGCATAGATGTTAAACTGGTGAGAGTCCCTGAGGAGCCAAATACCTTTAAAGCAAAAAAGGGCAGGACAAATGTTTTCTCCTTACAACTATTACCTTTCTTTTCTTTCTTTGTACCAGTAAATTCTTAGGACATTGGACCCTTTGGTTTTGTTTGTTTGTTTGTTTTTAAAGCACTTTTTTTTTTTAAGATTGGCCCTGAGCTGACATCTGTTGCCAATGTTTTTATTTTTTTCCTTTTTCTCCCCAAAGCTCCCCAGTACACAGTTGTATATTCTAGTTGTAGGTCCTTCTAGTTCTGCTGTGTGGGACGCCGCCTCAGCATGGCTTGAGGAGCAGTGCTAGGTCTGTGTCCAGGATCTGAATCAGCGAAACCCTGGGCCTCCGAAGCAGAGTGCAGAACCCCACCACTCAGCAACAGGGCTGGCCCCAGGACGCTTTGTTATTTTAAGAGTAAATTCTTAGAAGTAAATTTTAATTTGTCAACATTAGTTGATTAGTTTAAATCCACATTAGTAACACTAAAGGAAATTATAAAAGCAAACTTATTTAGTGCTCCATCACCTAAAACATAAATTTAATTTATCTGTATTTTCTATTAATATCTATCCTTGGTTATTCATATTTACTTGCTTTATATATTCTCCTTTGCATCTTTTCACCTAATTGTATTTTAAAACCATTTCCCATGTTGCTTCGTAGTTTTCGCATTTTAAAATTTAAGTGCTGGGGCCGGCCCGGTGGTGCAGCGGTTAAGTTCGCACATTCCGCTTCAGCAGCCCGGGGTTCACTGGTTCGGATCCCAGGTGTGGGCATGGTACCACTTGGCAAGCCATGCTGTGGCAGGCATCCCACATATAAAGTAGAGGAAGATGGGCATGGTTGTTAGCTCAGGGCCAGCATTCCTCAGCAAAAATTGGAGGATTCGCAGCAGATGTTAGCTCAGGGCTAATCTTCCTCAAAAAAAAAAAAAAAGTGCTATGTATTAAATAATTTGAGTTAATGTGACCTATCACACTCATTATGATTTATTACAATTAGTTTGTGTCTACCTCCCCTGTTATAAATTACTAGCTGATAAAATAAGGTCTGTATTTTTTCCAGTTTTGTGTCCACTATACCTGGCCAGTACTTGGCACATAAATGGTAAATAAATTTGTTTGAGTGACTGTAAGAATACTTTTTTTGGTAATCATTTAATTATCAGACATTTATGTTCCTACAAATATCTTTGTAGGAAAGAAACCTATGCATTTTGTATATATGTTTGTATATATAAAATCCCAGTTGCCCCTTATAAAAACTCTGTGAATTAGCTACTATTATACCCATTTTACAAATAATTAAGGTTCTGAGAACTTGTTCAGTGATATAATTAGTAAGTAGTGGAGCTGAGGTTGGAATTCAGGTCTTTCTGACTCTAAAGCCCAGTCAAGATCTTTCCTCTATGCCAGTGTCCTCACACTGTTTGGGGGCGTTAGAATAATTCAGAGAGTTTGTTAGGGCAGTTACTGGGCCCCAGAACTTCAGATTGTAGGTGGGGCCCAAAAGTTTGCTTCTCTAACCAGTTTCTAGTTGATGCTAAGAATCACTGTTCCATACCATATCAAATCTGTATTTTGTTTCTAAATAAGTTTTATAAACATGAAAAGTACTTATTAAACCCAAAGAAAGACAATTTTTCTTAGACGTTTCATATAGTCAATTCAGTCTGATTAGAATACAATTGGTAATAATTAAACAGGATTAGGTAGTTATATCTGACAGATTTCACTTAAGAATCTTAGGTGGGCAAATATGTATCTTGTTCTCAAAGTTCTCTGAAGAAAAATAGTTTTTTAAAATAGTGTTACAAAGCAAACAGAAGTTCTCCTATGAAAGTAAATTACACCTTTTTATCTGGCTATGTATTTTAATCTCTTGACGTTTTTCAGTTTCTCTTTCTCTGCTTTGTAGAGTTTTAAAGTAAACAGCTGTGTTGCTTTATGTATTAAGTCCTGTTTTATTTTGCTTTCATACAATAATTACCCTGACTAGGAATATTTTCATGATTAGTTAAACAGGTTGGTATTATTTTACACATTTAAACTGATCTTTGTGTTATTTTAGTCAGATGCCTGGAGTTCTTATTTATGTTGGAAGATTTGCATTTCTGTAGTTAATGATTTTTCTATAAATGAAGCAGAGAAGCTATTCCCAGAATGTTAACTTAATTTTAGATTGAGAGAGAGATGAGGAACTAAATCTTAGGCATCTTCCCCCCAACACCTTGTATATCTAATTTGTCTAAAAAGTACCGACACATACAGTATTATATAATTTTAGGCTATTAAAAGGATGTGATATTACTTTAAATACTACAGTCATTGTAATTGTAAGAAGACTTTTTCTCCCTTTATGACTTACATAAATGGCCACACACATAAAACTTTGTGAAGTCAAGCTTATGACAGAAATTTACTACCAAATTTAGAATATAGTATTCATAGAAAGTGTGATCACTATAGGAATTTAGATTTTATTTTTATTATGTTTGTGTATGTTTAGTATTAGACTGCAAATACTAAGCTATCAATTGAAGTTTGGTTTTTTCCCCTTGATTCCCAAGTTAAAAACTCACTGAGATTGCCAAATTAGTTGTATTTTCTCAGCAGTTGCCTGTTAGGTGACTAGTTGCAGAAAGAAATTTTGAGTTATAATGTAGTAAATATTTAAATTTCTTGTGAAAGCAGTAAATAGTTGAAGGGAGGAATTATTGAAAGTCAGGATGAGTAGTGATAACTGCTAGACTCTTGGTGGGAAGAAGTAGGTGGTGGTTTTGGTGCTCATGGTATCCTGTTTTATTTGTTTGCAAGATTATATATACAAAGGTATATATCATTTAGAAGAATTTTTTTAGTCATTTAAACATAAATTCAGACATAAATACCTATGATACTGAAACAATTCAAGGGAACCTTAAAGATCAGACCAAGTTCCTTATTTTACGCTTGGATCTGAGTCCAGGGAAAACAAGGGACTTCCCCGTTGTACCATAACTAGGAATGAGTAGACTTAAGAAATTCAACTCTTGCTTTCTTAATGTTAAGTTTCCATAAAAGATAAATAGATGACAAAATTATTTCACTTGTGTTTCTTTCTGTTTCTAAATATTGTAAGTTTAAAGCCATTACATACTAAAAGTATTTTTTAACTTTTTATAGGAGAACTTTGGGTTTGATAAAATTGAGGTGCGAGACAATGGTGAGGGCATCAAAGCCATTGATGCACCAGTGATGGCAATAAAGTACTACACCTCAAAAATAAACAGTCATGAAGATCTTGAAAATTTGACGACTTACGGTTTTCGTGGAGAAGCTTTGGGCTCAATTTGTTGTGTCGCTGAGGTAAGGTAATTTATATAGACTGTTTTAGTGATTTTATAATCACAGAATGTTAGAATTAAGAGAAAACCAACCCAGAATTTGGCAAAGAGTGTGGGGTTTTTCTTGTGGTAAATATACATAACATAAAATTTACCATTTTAACCAGTTGTAAGTGTACAATTGAGTGGCATTAGGTACATTCACATTGTTGTGCAGCCGTCATCACCATCCATCTCCAGAATTTTTTTGTCATCCCAAACTGAAACTGGGTACCCATTAAATAATAAGTCCCCCTTCTCCTTTCCCCCCATCCCCTGGTAACCACTGTTATGCTTTTTGTCTCTCTGAATTTGACTATTCTAAGTACGTCATTTAAACGGAATCATACAATATTTGTCCTTTTGTGTCTGACTTATTTCACTTAGCATAATGTCTTCAAGGTTCATACTTGTTGTAACGTGTATCAGGATTTCATCCCTTCTTAAGGCTGAATAATATTCCATTCTATCTATAAGCCGCATTTTGTTTGTCTAGTCACCTGTCGACATCTGGGTATATTTGGATTGTTTCCACTGTTTGGCTATTGTGAATAATGCTGCTATGAATATGAGTGTACAAAGGTCTGTTTGAAACCCTGCTTTCATTTCTCTTAGGTATATACCCAGAGGTAGAATTGCTAGGTGATTCTGTTTAATTTTTGAGGAACAGCAAAATGTGTTTTGTAGTGTTAATGTTTATAAGACGAAATAGTGGTTTAGTGGCCTATTGTCTTGGAAAAAATGTTTTAAATAAAATTAAACAGATATCTTACCTATAAGCACTTTTCAGAGCCTTTACTAAAGTATGTTGTGAATCTCTAAGGTTGGTGGTTTATAGTAGGTTCATTTTCTGCACGTACTTGATTATGAAACCCTTTTATTGAGAAACATATCACTGTTTTTTTCTTGTTTTGTGCAACAACTTTGGAAATACCACTCTAGTCAGTACAGATTATTAGATTGTGCTCTAGAGATGCAAATTGACTTGGCCTACCCTCTAGCTAGTTAGAGGCTGATTGGGTCCTAGAACTTTGCTCTCTTGACTGCTTTTTTGGTGCTTTTAATGTCTAAACCCCTGAGTTCAGTGCCTGACCCACTCTATCGTGTAGTATCAATTATACTTCACTGCCTCTGCCCTACATTATATAACTAGTTTGTGGCAAAGCTCATCTAGAACCTTGATCTCTTCATTTCCATCTATTTCAGTTATGTTTTATCCCATGACTCCATACTAGTTTCTTTGTGCTGTTCTATTTCTCTGTGTGTGTTAAGCTCTGTATTATAGTGTGATAGTATCTGTGTCCTAGTGAGTGACATGGTAATTGTGAGGGTCTCTTTAGCTATCTAAGTTTGCCCGGTAGCCGTATAACCCTTCATTTGTGCTTAGGGTGGCAGACTCTAATTAGGTGAGAATGCTCAGATGCAATAAATAAAATGGTAGGATTTTATACCTTTTGTCCCAGAAAAGTGGCAGGGACATGACATGTTAGTCTCTCCTCATCTGGTCTCTGGACATCTATTTAGTAGCCTAGTCTCCCCAGCAATGATACATTCTTCAGGCTTATTGTGGTCCTTTGCTGAGTGCTGGCATAGTGTAGGGTTTTTCCTTCTTTTTGTGAATAGGGTCCCAACTTGGTATTCATTTACTCTTTGACTTTGCGGCTCTGTAAGGTGATGCCTAAGCAAGAACGAAAAATTGTGGGTTGAGGAGGAGCTGGAGTTTCAAGTGGGCGATTTTGCTGTTTTAGCACAGAGGACTAGGAGCCCTTCCTTATTAGAATCTAGATGTTCAGACATCACTAAAGGAGGAAAGACCTTGTCATTCCTTAAGTGCACTTGCTTAAAACCTCTGTGCAAAAACTAGCACACTCTGTGCTGCTCTTACCTTTCTCAGCACTTGCTTTATTTAGAGTTCACTGAGTCTCCAAATAGATTTTAGGGAAGAGTGACTGGAGGGTACAAGGGGGCATTGCCCATCTTTCTCCCCAGGGACTGTATATGGGAACCTATGGCCCTATGCTCTTGTAGAGTCTGTTTTTAACATGGGATGAGATGTGTATCGGAACCTGCGAAGCCCCCAGTACTGGTACTATTATATGACCTCTCAGTGGCTATTTTAGAAATCATGTAATTTGTTAGAGAATGTATTTTATTTTTTAGCTGTTGTCCAAACTTGGCAGGTAAATCTTTAAGCTTTATTTTGGCAGTGTTTTTGAACAATATATAGTTTGGCATTTCTATGTTTTCTAAGATGTGTATAACCTTTCAGAACTGAAATTGGTCATTATCAACTTTGTCTGCTAGGTGGCAGCACTACACTTAGTCTTCTAAAATATATTGTACATAAGCCATATGATTCATCCAAATCTTCACTATAGTTCTGATTTTAGATGGCAGTTTTGCAAGTCCTTGTCCAGTGGTACTCTCTGTTTCTTTATTTGATTAGTTAAACCTGCGTGATAACTAAGTTTATCATTTTGTCTTTTGTTTCATTTTTGAGGCATTTGAATGCCTTCAGTATAAATACATAAAAGAATTTTGCTCATTAAAGTTACAAAAGGAGTAAAAGAAATGACAAAGTATCATAATAGTAATAGGAAACTATAAACTTTAAAAAAGTTATTTTTGATTTAAACTGCAATGTCATTTGTCAATCTTAGAAAATATTAACAGCGCTTTATGTACTGTCTTATGAATCTCTGGGAAAATCGCACATAGATATATGTGTGTGTGCACACACACACAGCGCAATGAACTTTTATATGTGTATACTCCAGATCCAGATATGGACTATTGTCAGCACCCCTGAAGGTTCTTTATGCCCCTCCCCATGGGTACTGGGAGGTTCTCTCATGCTCCGTCCCAGTCAGTTAGAAGTAATAGCTATTCTTACCTCTATCAACATAAATTAGTTCCACTTGTTCTTGAACTCGCTCTAAATGGAATCTTACAGTAAGTATTATTTCGTTACAGACAAATTGTTTGATGATTTAGGTTTGATTGTGCCTGAAAGCCAAAGGAAGTATAGAACTGGAAGGGACCCTGGTAGTAGTATTGCACTGCCCAGATCCCCCACTTGGGGACTGAGCACTCATTCCCCCAGCTGCCAAGAGTATTGGTGACTGAACACTCACAGCTGAGTCTCCCTCTGGAGATTGCCCTTTCGTCAGCTGAAGAGAGTTACCTTACTCTCATCATCCAGGGCAACCTGCATCCAATGGCTGGTTGACGAGGGGTTGTAAGGTCTCTGTTCCAATTCAGAGCAAGTCTGCTATGCTTTGTCTGCTCCAGACTGTCCCCCCTTGTAACTGTGGCACAGCCCCACTTCTCTTTCTGCCCTGCCCTCACAAGTGACCATCCCAGCAGCACTCCCCAATAAATATCCTGCTCACTAGTCTTTGCCTCAGTCTGCTTCATGGGTAAGCCACCCTGCACTAGGTCTTCTAAGGTTCAGTCTCATGTTACTGATGAGGAAACTGAGGTCTTGTGAAGCCAAATGCCAAGTCTTCTCACTCCAGCTTCAAAACACAGTCTAATAATCAGTCAGCTAATATTTCACTGTCTACTGTATGCAAGTGCTGTGCTAAGTAGTTTACTTCAGAGGAACTGTGCACAGTGAAGTAAATGGAATGTGAAAATTGTGGCCTATTTAGGGACACATAGTATGTCCATGGTAAAGCCAAGAATTCAGTTCCAATTTCATGCCTCCCAGTACTGAGTTCTTCACAGTAAGTTAGTGCCTTCTTACTAGTATGGTTAGAGAGAGATTTATAATTTAAAAGGACCTCATTAAAACAGTAAACATACTCAGGCCTGCAGTGGTAAGCTTAATAGGTTATCAAGCAGTAGTCAAGTTGAAACTTACGTGGGAAGATTTCTGAATAGTATTTCAGAAATACAGAAAGTAATATATGCTTGTTAAGGTCAATTACATTTAAAAATAAATATTATTGTTATTCAGGAAGACTTAAGGAATGTTTTGAGGGGGAAAAGCTTCACTTTTGAAGCTTACTGAATATTCTTCACCTTTCAGAAAGAATTGAGCTTTCATGTAGAATAGAAGGTGCATATTTATTTTAAAGGCTCCAGTTTATTTTGAAAACTCTGGATGGAGATTGCCGTTACATAATAAAAATTAATGATTTGGCTATTTTATCTGCCAAACTAACTGATGCAGACAATTTTAAAGTCATAGAGATGTAAACCATCTCAGGCTTAGTATAGTGATGATGTGTAATTGGGATATAGTTTTGTCACACTATTGAAACAGCCGTCACCCAAAACTCCAATTGCTGAAATAAATTTTTGTTAGATTATTTAAAGATGTTAATAATTTTAGTTATAAAAAGAAAAAAATTAAGTAGACTTTCAGCAGAATTAGCTGGAGAAATTTAAAATATATCTATTCTATATTCTTTATTTATATACTTTAAAAGAATGGGCAGTTTCCTAATTTGTCAATTATAAAATGACTTCCAATCTTAGAATTAAACACTCCAAAGGAGTAAAACATTCTTTTCATATCTACAAAGTATCCTATTGATATTTAAAAATAAATTTCTGCCTCCATAATCTGTGATGAATGTATCAGTGACTGACACAAATTGACCGATATGGCTTTTTTTTTTTTTTAAATCATATCATCAAGCATAACTTCTCTTGAAATTTATTATTTGTAGAGCAATAATTTCGGGATATTTGTCGTTCTTTGATGTTAAATTCCTCATGCTGATTACTAAGCATACTGACTAGAATGAGCTAGAAATAGTGAAAATCCTGTTTTGACCTGTTCATAAAATTTTGTCTGAAGACCGTATATATTGTTCCTATCACATAATAAAATACCCATAATAAAATGTTTTGTTTCTTTTTAGGTTGCTATTTTTTTTAAAGATTTTTTTTTATTATTTCCTTTTTCTCCCCAAAGCCCCCCGGTACATAGTTGTATATTCTTCGTTGTGGGTTCTTCTAGTTGTGGTATGTGGGACGCTGCCTCAGCGTGGTCTGATGAGCAGTGCCATGTCCGCGCCCAGGATTCGAACCAACGAAACACTGGGCCGCCTGCAGCGGAGCGCGCGAACTTAACCACTCGGCCACGGGGCCAGCCCCTTTAGGTTGCTATTCTTTATACATTATATTAGAAATTATCTTTCTCCTTTCAAAGAAATGTTTAAGAAACTTATATAAGTTTTTTGAACTGGATTTTAAATAGAAACTAAATTATACCTTAGTTTTAGGAAGATTACAGAATGGTTTTGTTGTCTTAGAATCAGAACAAACTTTGAATGAGGAGTCAGAGCCTAATTCTCATTCCCAAGTGTTTGAATATGAGACTTGACCATAAGACGGGTTAACCTTTCTGAGTCTTTTTTTTTTAATGTCTATAAAGTGAGAATAATGATTTGAGGGTCAAATGAAATAGTACATATTAGAGTATTGTGAATATTATCATGTGCCATACAGATGAATGTTATTTTTACCCCGGACTTGAATGTGGAAAGTAGTGTGCGGCTGTGTCATACAGGTGATGATGTCATCAGCTTGCCCATTCCCTTTTCAGCAAGTGGTTTTTCACCTCACCTTTCAAAGTTCATGCAAACTCCTCAACATTTTGGGAAAATCCTTTCTAAAATTTAACAACCATTCCTAGGTAAATTCCTTCTGAGTCTCACCAAAGGTCTTTTTTCTATAGCATATGTTTATTTTTTTCTCTTGTTTTTTCCTGGGAAGAATTAGAAGAGTTGCCAGCCATCTACTGCATAATACTCATGTTTATTGATTCATTCATCCAACATTTTTACAGTGATTACAGTGCACTGGGTATTATTTTGATCTGTCAAGTTCATTATACATAATTTTGTGATGAGATTGTATGGGGTCTGTAGATTTATTGTTGTTTTACTTTACATTAAACCTCTGTGGCTTAAAGTGGGCAGAATGACTAGCTCATTCTATTTTGAAGATGGAAGTTGAGATTGTCTTATTTGTGGGCTCGCATAACTGTAAAAGGATAGGGGGAAGCCCCCAGCATTATTCTGATGGTCCCTGCCTCCTGCTCCAGTGTAGGGGACTTCTTCTGTCTCTTGTAGCCATGTGGTTAAGCACAGGAGTTTTTGAAGCAGCTGGGATATCTTGCTTCCTAAATGCAGTCTCCTCACAGGTGGTAGAACTCTGTTGAGAGGAGAAAAGCGGGGGCCAAGATCTCCCTGTTGCTAGTCTCCCACAGTGGAGTATCAGAGAGGAGGTTCTGAAGTCAGAGTGCTTAATATAAGTGTTCAATTGTGTGCAGGCAGGCAGGCAGGCATACTCATACGCAGAAAGGAAAAGACAGTTCAGTCATCTAGGCAATATCCATATTTCAGCTGAATCTTGACGACCGTTAGTTTTCAGACTCTTGTTTCTGTGCCCAAGTGTTCATCTAAAAGTTAGCAAAAAAAAAGAAACAATTAAAAATCCCTTTAACATAATTATCTAAAATGAATTTTTGTCAAGGGAAGATTTTTTGTATGAATTTCTAGGATATTTCCTAAGTTTTTAATTTACTTTTTATCTAAAACATTGAGAAAAATTGTGCTTATCTGAAGTTTAAATGCTTTTATGTAATTTTAACTTTCTAATAGTATTATAATTTCTTGAAACTCAGTAACTGGACCAGAGTCAGTTTTTAATAACTGATAGCTAATATAACCTCTAAGGTTCTGTTTCTTCTCTTGACACACTGGACTCACTCACTGTCACAATTCCTCACTGTCTCTGGTAGGAAGCACCAGTAATAATTTGCAGTATTAGAGATGCTTCTGATGGAGGTACTGCAAGTTCAAATGCTAGCTGCTGCACAGCTAAAACATTCTGAACCTGTGCCTGGTCCAAAAAAAGGTTTCCTGCCCAGGACACAGGGTCATATGATGAAATGAGCTCTTGAAATACAATTCCTTCCTCTGAGGAACACACTGTATTTCATGAATTTGTGAAACATGCTTATGCGTGTTATCCTTCACTGTCTTTAGCAGTGAATTGCAAAGCATTTCCGATTTAAATAAATTTTCATGGAGCTCTATACATTGTAATTTAAAAAATTTTAGTGTTGGAAAACAATATTGTGTTCTATATTTTTTTACTTAACATAAATATTACACTGTAACCACTAAGGTCCTATTTTGCCTTTTAGCACTTCAGTTTGTTCATCTAAGCTGCAGTATTACTGTTCACTAATGTGTTTAAAGAATGAACAAGTTAGTATCTGTAAAATGCTTTGAACTAGTTACAGCAAAAATCCATGTAACCTTATAAAGTATTAGCATCATCTTCATCTTATCATCACCCTCCCCTTAAAGATGATAGTGTAATCATTTATTCAGGACCATCGAGCAAATCGCTGGCAGAGTTAGTACTAGAACTCAGAGTTCCAGGGCTGCCTTTGCTCAGTGACACCAACTTTAAGTCAGGTGGCTGGCTCTTTGGAGAATAGAAATAGAATTCAGTTGACCTTGGCATTTTGGAGAAGTGGTTGGTTAAATGTAGAATTGTTTTTAAAGGGACAATCATGGAGTAATTAAATTAGAGACAGGAAAGGAAATCTCTAGCAATTTCTGTCCTCTTTGTTTTGTACAAACGTTACTAGAAGAAATCACTATTTGACACAACAGAGTTGGGATGTAGTAGAAAGATTAAGGTTAGTTATCAAGCCAACTTTTTAAATTATACAACTTTTGATCCACAGAGTATATTTTTGGAAGAAGTAGAATAATCACTTAAGAGTATACAGAGGCTCACAACTTGGTTTAGGTACAGCTTTTTTGGGGAGTAGTTATCACAGAAATAGTAGGTTGAGGCAATATCCCTAAAAAGGATTTTATGGATGTCACCCTCAGAGAATCTACTAGACTCTACTAGTACTGTGAGCTAGAGAAGCCATATTTTTTCTTGGTGATTCTGGTATTCTCTGCATGGTACCCGCATCTTCCATAGAGCCATATGGCCTACAATAAATCAGTGAATGGTTAAGACAGCGTGACAGAATCATCAAATGTAGACCCAACTGGACCCAGGTGAGTTCCAGCAGTAGAGCTGGGTCTTTGCAGCTTCTTCCTAAATGATACAGGTTGATTTTAAGATAGTCAACTCTGCTAAGTCCAGGGATGGGCAAGAAAGGTTGCTCCCAATTTTGGGTCATCGTTGCTCACCAGAAGTGTGAGGAGGCTACCTTTTTCTGAGTCCACCCTGCTTTCCTTGCCAGCATCCCCACTCCTCACCTCTGGTATTTTCTGACAATGGTATGGTTTGCTATTATATTCTCCTGCTAATCTCATGAGGTAGGGAAACAGAAAGCTGAGGGTAAGGGTAGCGCAGAGTACAGACATTCCGAATTTTATATTTTTATGGAAACATTTTCATGTTGAATGAAATCCTTTCTTATACTTACGTGTTCTAATGCTAAGGTTTTTTTAATTAATAAAAAATTTATGTTTAAACAAGGAGTTCAAAGCTTGGATTTAAGAAAAAATCACCCATAGATATGTATGTGTATGATTGATATTTTTTTATTCTTTTGAACCATTAACTTGAAATACATACGTGCCGTTTTATACACAATGTAAAGGAGGGAATGATTACATTACAAAAGGATTATTCAGTTTACCAGCAAATTTATGGGAATTGTCTTGGGGCTGGTCCAGTGGCCCGGGGTTCGTGGGTTCAGATCCTGGGTGTGGACCTACTCACCACATGTCAAGCCATGCTGTGGTAGGCATCCCACATATGATGTAGAGGAAGATGAGCACAGATGTTAGCTCAGCACCAGTCTTCCTCAGCAAAAAAGAGGAGGATTGGCGGCAGATGTTAGCTCAGGGCTAATCTTCCTCAAAAAAAAATTTATGGAAGTAGTCTTAATGGCAAGCTGCCTTAATACAGTTGAAGTATTTGATTTTACAGATGTAAGTCATATAATAAAAATAGTGATTTCGGGTATACTGATTTGTGTAAGTGTCTTAAAATTAAAGTGAAATACTCAAAACACAAATCAGTAATTTGCAACAAAAAAAGTAGAAGCTGGCCTATTGCTTATTAGTGTAACTCTAAGGAATATTTCAAGAGAAGTGGTCATAAGAACTTATCAAGTAAAACTTTTTAAAATCTTTAATAAATATAGAATGATTATTTTAAATCTAATTTGATAATGAGCCCACTGCAATTTCAAAAATCATAATTTTATTAGAGGTTTTTTTTTATTATTCTAGGTCTCAATTATTACAAGGACGGCTGCTGATAATTTTAGCACCCAGTATGTTTTAGATGGTAGTGGCCACATAATTTCTCAAAAACCTTCACATCTTGGTCAAGGTAAGAGGGTAGCTTTGTGGCGTTCTTTGCATTTTCTGTCTTAATTGCTTATCTAAAAAAAATTGTTACTACTTAAATTCAAATGTATTGCTTCAGGCTCGGTCCTAGTAATGCCTAGTTAACTTGCAGGTGAACATTCACCCTTTGCTTTAGCCATCAATCTCATAAATACTTAGAGTTGTTCTCAAGAGGAACTGTGTGGAAGACTTTGGACAACAGCATGGATTAGTTACTCTTCTGTAAAAACTGTAAGAGCAATTATTTTACTATTGCTAGATCACTAGTGTCTTTATGTATGACAGATAATATTTTATTGAAATACGTAAAACATTTTTGATTTGGTAATCATGGTAATAAACCATAGCATCAAGATATTATGATTAAATAAATAATTTGAAATCTATTTATTTGTGGAAAACTTCAAACATATGCATAAGTAGATGGAGTAGTGTAGCCATCACTCAGTTTTAACAATTTTTATTAACTCGTTGCTAATGTTGTTTCAGTCTAATACTCTCACCCACTTCCTCCTTTTCTGTATTATTTGAAGCAAATAAATATATTAATTAGTGTGGCTGTTTGTCATTTAGTTTTTTAGTGTTTTATACACTTATGTAATTTTATTGTATTTTAATCGATGTCTTATATTTTTAAGTTCCTCTACTGTTTACTTCCAAGGGAAAAAATATCTCTTCAGGCTTGAGTTTCACATATCTCCTTTAATCTTTTTCATACTGCTAACTTCTGTTAATGGGATGTTTAAAGTTGAGAGAATATTCAAGGTATGACCTCTTTAGAGTCATGTTCAAAAGAATTATTAGATCTGAAAAGGGACTTGTGTTTTGTTGTTGTTTGCCCTCTTCTTCTCCAATTTGTACTATAAATTTATTTTTAATTTTGTAGTCCCTCATTGTAATTTATCAAAGTACTGTATTTTTTCTGTGGTTTCTTCCCTCCAGTTTTAATGTTAAATTATTGGATTTTTTCCCAAATGATTTCTCTTTTTCTTGATTGAAATTTATTTTCTCCTATCTTAATACTGATACCAGATTCTCTCATTCTTTCTCTTATTTTATAAATCCTCAAATTATTTACTGATTACTTTTGCCTGTTAAGAATTAATATTTTGGTAACCACATAGGGGAAAGAAAATAATAGGAGCTCCTAAGAAAACACACTAACATTTTTCTCATTTATTCAGTTAATAAAAATGAGTTCATCTAATAGCTGTTTAATTTGATATATAATAATATTATGCATATTTTAATTAATATAATAGATTATGATTATTTTTCTTTTTTATGTATTGAAGGTTAAGACAAAAAGAAGGCATTTTTAAATGTGGTCCCTCTCCAGGAATGCTCTGACCCCAGTTCTTAGGAGTTCAAATTAGGAAACCATTAGGAGATATTTGGGTGGATTTCCCATAGAATACTTTGAAGTAATTGAGTCACCTTATCAAACTTAAATGTATTTATTTTTATCTTAGTAGTAGCCAGTCTAATCTGGATGGCCAGTGGTTCTGCATCCCTCATATGTCTCATGCTTTTCCTTATTCATCTCCCTGAGAACTATAAAGTAACGATCCTTAAATATAGAGTCCTTCTGATATTTGCTCGTTTGCTGATTGATTTTTCTTGCTTACCTAAGTCTTCTGCTTTTAGTGAGTGAGACAAGGTATGCTTATTAAGGAATTTCTACAGGCATTAAATGAACTTTATTTTCTTTAGCATATTCCTTTTACCTTAAGAAACAACATACTTGGAAGGTCAGTAGTTGTGAAACTAGTAATTTCTTTTGTAACTGACTTTTTTCTCCTAATTATAGTTGATTGGCTAGGAAAACAACAAAAAATCAAGCTCTTAGTTTTAGAATGCTCTAAGTGGACTTATAGAAATCACAAACACTTTCCAAAAGCCTTTTACATTTATGTTGCCTTTGTGCTGATAGTTTTTTGAGTGATTGAATCACAGACTCACATTTCACCACCAGCTGTCATTCAGCTTCCATTTAAATGTTTTCTGTGTAAGATAAAACTGCAGTTCAGCCATCCTAATTAATACCTGTGCATTTAGGGTATTATTAATTTCTGCTGTGGTGTGAACATCCTTGCTTAGCGGTTACTCCTTTATCGTCTGATAGGATGACACCTGTAGACAGCCTGACTGTAGGTGCAGAGACAGCTTACCACAAAATCTTTTGTAGGCATTGGAAAATTTGTTACTCCTTTAAAAAACAGGTTTCAAAATGTTTAAAAAGAGTTTACTAGAGATTCCCATTCTGGTTTTTCGTGGTGTAGATATTGGTTTTATGGATTAATGTAGCCATTTAAAATGACTTATGTGTTTAACAATAGGTCGTTTTAAATTACCCTTATCTTCTGTTCACTTCTATTTTAAGATATTTAAAAAATTAACAAGAAATGTAAGAATAAGTCTCCAGCTTTTAAATTCTTTTGCCAAGAATCCTGACTAAATTATTTTAGGTGATATGTTTTTTCTGTCATCACTTTTATCCCTTTACCCTAATCAGTTTTTTTTCCTTCTTCTCCCCAAAGCCACCCTGTGCACAGTTGTATATTCTAGTTGTGAGTCCTTCTAGTTCTGCTGTGTGGGACACCGCCTCAGCATGGCTTGATGAGTGGTGCTGGGTCTAGGCCCAGGATCCGAACCAGTGAAACCCCGGGCCGCTGAAGCAGAGTGCGCGAACTTAACCACTCAGCCATGGGGCTAGCCCCTAGATAATCAGTTTTAAGCTTTCTAAATTGATTTACCCTTCTGGACATATTCTTTTAACACCTCCAATACTTCCTTCCACCTTAGGAATTTCTCAGATATCAAAAGTGGTATATTTAAAGTACTCTGATCAAGATATTTCCTTTCCCTACCCTATTATTAAAGCAGAGAGAGCTTCCTCTTCTTGGTAAATCCCTGCTATGTGTGATTGTGCATGTATTGAAAGATTTTTTTCATCTTGAGAATGGCACTTTTTCATTAAATAGTTTAGGAAAACTTCGATATATTCAAGCCACCATACCTCTTTACGTTAGGAATATAAATAAATAGCTCCCTTTATAAATGGCATAACATAGGGTCCTGTAAAAATATAACAGAGCATATGACAGGACAGCAATTTAGTTCTGGTGTTTGTAGAATGTGCTAAAGTTAGAGAGCTGAGCACTTCTCTTGTAAAATATGATAGGACGCTAGGGCCTCCTCCCTACTGGCCAATATTACTTGGTACTTTTTTTTTAAGGATACACATTTCGTTTGGAATCAGTAGTTTTCCATCATTAAATTTTATTCAAACATATGTAATTCTTGGCTTATTGGTAATTCTCAGTTTGCTCTGAGAATACTTTTGGCTGCTGAAGAAATAATTTATCAGTTAATATACAGATTAGGTGTAGTGTGGTCTTTGATACATAACATATATTTGAGAAGCAACATATATCTTTTCCTTTCATAAACATGTTTATATTTTGCCCTTGTGGTTTCTGCCTGACTTCCTTCCCACCTTCTGTCCACAGCTATGATATATATCATTATATTTGTTGCAGACTGGTGGAGAACACAGATGTGTAAAAGGAACTCACTAGTGAAGAACACAGATGAGTAAATAAGTAATGATAGTAAAAAGAAGCCACCGGCTGCCAAAAGGAAGGTTAGTGAGTTTCAGAAAACAACATTTGAGTTTGAAGATGGTAGGTAAGAAGGAGTGAGAGTATACCCTTTCAACAAGAGAAGAATGATGGATGTAGATTTCAAGAGACCATTGCTCTCTAATGTAGTGATGAGGGGACAAAACACATAATTTTTAAAATTTTCAGTTTTAAAAAACCCATCGAAAAACTGTGTTACAAAGAAGTTTTAAATGAACTAAGTTAAAGAAAAAGATGACCCCTTCCTAGACAAGAAGAGACTGGTGGCCACTTGCTTCCATGGGAGTATTAACTGAGTCTGGAGGCATAGGCAGGCAAAGGAGCAAGCCTGCTATAGACAAGAGCTCTTTTATGGCCCTAGGAGAAACCAGCTGAAGTTTTGATAGCCACATGTGAGCTGATGAGACAGTTGGAAGATGGGATCCTCAAACACAGAGCTCATTCACCCCAGATGTCAAATCTCGACAGGAATTTTGCTGAGTAAACAGTGATGAAGAAAGTTGGGACTGAGCTAGAGAAAGAAAGATCTTAAAGTCTTTCAGTGCTTAGGTCCCAAAGCCTTAGTAGAGGAAGAGACCTGACTCCATCCTCAAGATGTTTGAAACTGGAAGTTAACTGAAACTGAATAAAGGAGCAGCTCAGCTCCAACCCAGTTAAACTCCTAATTATGTTGAAGAGTTTCATTTGTCACTCTAGCTGCTTGACAGAGGAAATGAAGTGCCTTCTCTGGGGGAAAATAATATCTACTTCAGTATCTATTGCTCTTTTATATACAATGTCTGGCAAAAATAAGAATGTTGAGAGGCATGAAGAGAGGAAAGTGAGATCCATAATCTTGATATAACCAAACTCACAGATGACTTAGATGTTTGAATTAGCAGACAAGAACTTTTGAAACAGCTGTTTATGTTAAAGAATTTAGAGGAAGGGATAGTCTAAATCAGTAAGAAGGTGGAGAATTTCAGCAGAGAAATGGAGCTCTAAAATAGAACCAAATGAAAATTATAGAATTAAAAAAGTACTGTGTCTGGATGGGCTTAGCAGCATACTGGTCATAACAGAAGAAAAGATTCGTGAACTTGAAGTCAAGTCAACAGGAATTATGTAAATTGAAGGAGAGAGGATAAGATAGAATGAAGAAAGACAACAGGGCATTGGAAATCTGTGGGACAACATTAGACAGTCTAACATATGTGTGACTGGAATCCCAGGAGGAGAGAAAAGAGAGAATGGAGCAGAAGAAAAGTCTGAAAAGAAAACGTGGGAATTTTCCAAACTTGCTGAAAGCTTCAAGCCACAGATCCAAGGAACTCATTGAACCCCAAGTAGAATAAATAAA